TTTTTGTTACATATGTTTAAAGAAAATTTTTTAAATTATTCAATAGGGAAGTTTGGTTGGTTTAGTGGATTATCCAGATGATGAAGAGGAAGATGAAGAAGAAGAAACATCCCCCAGGAAAAGACCTCGTCTTGGCTCATAAAGTATTTATTAGGGGACCCTCAACATGTGGTCTTAAAATGCTGCAACTGTTCAGTGAGCTGAAAATCTGAATCAGAAAGCTCTCTCACTTGACCTTATAAAAATATACAAGGAGTAGCAAAAGACACTCAGTATATCAGCTAAGAGAGTTTAGTTCTATTAAGAAAACAGGCTTCCCAGGAACTTGATTGCTTGCTAGTAATTAAGGGATTTGCCTTTTATGCTGTCAAAACAAAGTTAGTAACCAGAACCTGGAAGATAGCTTCTCAGCAAGGAAAAGTCACAGGTTTGGGGACGGTTTAGGGGAGGGGAAAAGGTTGATATAATAATGCAGGGTTGCTCTTTGGGGTATCAATCTAGAAACAATTACAGAACTTCAGTTGTAAACTCAATAACATAATGTTATAATGGTGCTGGCCATGTTGTTTTAGGATTGCCTCTTTTTAAAATAAATTTTTATGGAAAACACATTCAATTATCATTTAAAAAATGTTGGGACCATTTCTTTGAAGATATTAACAAAAACTCAGCCTTTTTGGTAGTTGAAGGGAAGTACACCCCGTATTCAGCACATGTTGAGTTTCTACAGCAGGAATTTTCAGTACATATGGTGATGAAAACAAGCTGGATTCAAAATGGACAGTTTTTTAAAGATAATGTTAAAATCAGCACTTTTAGAGAAAACAAAGGCCAATAATCAGTACAGTGGTATTCCAAAATGATTTTCTCTAGAAATTTGAAAGTGGATAAAACACAATGTTTTCAACCGCAGACCAGTACAATCTTTTGTGGAAGATACTTTGAAATCACTTTCTGCTTTGTTAGTAAAGTTGTCTCTCTCTCCAGAGCTACAGCAACTTTTAAAGTGTTATTTATACAGACCAACAAAGAATAGTGCTGAATTAACTGGCATTTAATATCTAGAAGCCATTTTGATCCAAGCAGCTACTTAAGTGTCAAAGTCAGCATGCAGCACATGAAGTTTCTCCATAAATAAGGGTGTGATATGAAAGCTGCTTTTTAAAAAAGAGTAAAAGCACATTCCATGTATGTAAATGAATTTTAAAAATAAACTGAGGCAAACCGTTGAGAAGTTTTATTTTTACAGCAGCAAGTTAACTGTAAATATTTTAATGTTAGTTTGCTCATCTATGATCTGAGATCATGCTGAAGTGAGAAAAATGTCCCCAAAATACAATTTAATGCATTGGGAAAAAAAATTTTAATAGTAATTCCCGCCACAATCTTTAGATCGCCCTTGTAATGTGTTATGGGTCCATTTTTCCTGGAATAGCTTAAACTGAAGCAGTTTCCCCTGTTTTGGAGATTTTGTAGTTAATTTTAATTTTGGCTATTGTTTGGAAAAGATGAGCTGTCTGTGTAGATATGAAGTATAGTTTTTTCCATAAAACAGATGTTTATTTTGTATTAAAAATACCACTGTACTTGTTTTACACCATTTGTATACATGTGGTGATATTAATGCTAAACTGTAAAATTCAGGAATTAAAATGTGACCCTGTAATTCCACAATTGATGTTTGTGTTTGGTTTGTTGTAAATATAAATTAACTCCATTTTGAGATATGTCAATTTTACAGTATCTTTTAAAAGCCAATAAAATTATCCATAAATATAAACTACTAGCTCATACACCAATTTTAATGAAATAATTCTAAACAAATGTGGGTCACTGGCACTTTAAATATCACTTCTTATAGAAGGTAAGCCTTGGGGAAATCAAAGCATCACAGTATGGAGCTTTTCTCACCTCTTCGATTAAAGGTATACATATAATAAGAAAGACCTTTCACCTCATAAGGCAGGTGACTCAGGCTATTTTAAACCAAGATCAGTAAAATTGCCATCCACTTTCTTTAAAGCAAGTTTTATCAAGACCTGTCTCTCAGCTTTTATTAAATTTCTTATAATAAGCCCACCTGTAAAGCACTTTCCTAGTTACTCTTTTTAAAATTTTTTTTTGAGGCTCACTCTGTTGCCCAGGCTGGACTGCAGCAGTACAGTCTCAGCTCACAGCAATCTCCACCTCTGGGTTCCAGCGATTCTCCTGCCTCGGCATCCCAAGTAGCTGAGAGTACAGGTGCCCATCACCATGCCTATCTAATTTTTAGTAGAGACAGGGTTTTGTCATGTTGGCCAGGCTGGCCTTGAACTCCTAACCTGAAGTGATTTGTCTGCCTCAGCCTCCCAAAGTGCTGGGATTACAGGTGTGAGCCATCGCGTCCAGCCGTCCTCATTACTCTTGACTCCTCAACTTTAAGTCCTAGTAGGAAGTACTAGCTTTGTATCTTATGAAGACTTCCTTTATTTTTTCTTTCTGAAAAGCTGCCGTAAGTCTTAAACATTTAAATCATCATCAGAATCTTTTCTTGTAGCACAAATGTGAATGGTTTCTTGAAATACAGGTAACAGTTTTCATGTTACAAGTGCTTACCTACGACAATAACAAGGCTTAAAATACCTCCTGAAAGAACAGTTGTGAGAATTCCATGTTAGCGGCTGTCTTTAAATGACTACCCTCAGACAGATCTGGATTTTTATATCTTCACTCAGTGAAGCAAGGCAAAAGCCCACATTTGTATGCCTTAGGTCCTCTTAAAATGGTATCTGTAAACATGTATCCAATATAAAAACTTTTTAATAAAAAGTTAAACATTTCTGTGTTTTAATCACTAGCATTTCCTCTTATCCATCTAATGATGAAAATATAACAAATGTAGAATACTGGTTTTTCTGCAGGTTAAAGGTTGGAATTATATGACTGAAACGAGCAATTCTTGTTAAACTAATTTTGATATCCCTTTTTATAAGTTTATAAGTATAGATTTAAGGAGATAGATTGTGATTTTAAGTTAAATCTTGGGAGTATCCTGTACTTAGGAAACGGTGGATGTGGGATGTTACAAGACTGGAAATTTCTTTTTCTTCTTCTTTCCTTTTTTTTTTTGAGATGGAGTACAGTGGCACAATCCTGGCTCACGGCAACCTCTGCCTCCCAGGTTCAAGCAAGTCTCCTGCCTCAGCCTCCCAGATAGTTGGGATTACAGGCACACACCACTACACCCAGCTAATTTTTGTATTTTAGTAGAGATGGGGTTTCACCAATGCTGGCCAGGCTGGTCTTGAACTTCTGACCTCAAGTTATCTGCCCATGCCTCGGCCTCCCAAAGTGCTGAGATTACAGGCGTGAGTCATTGCGCCTGGTTTTTCTTTTTTGAGATGGAATCTGGCTCTGTCGCCCAGGCTGGAATGCAGTGGTGCGATCTTGGATCGCTGCAACGTCCGCCTCCCAGGTTCAAGTGATTCTCCTGCTGCTGCTGCCTTCCAAGTAGCTGGGATTATAGGTGCCCGCCACCACACCCGGCTAACTTTTGTATTTTTAGTAGAGACGGTTTCACCATGTTAGCCAGGCTGGTCTCAAACTCCTGACCTCAGGTGATCCACCTGCATCAGCCTCCCAAAGTGCTAGGATTACAGGCATGAGCCACCACACCCAGCCTAGAAGTTTCTGAAACCACTTGTCCTATTATTGTGGTTTATCTTTAAACAAATAGACTACAGAAAACTATCCTAGGGGTCACTTCTCACAAAAAACACCAACACCCAGTGGTGGTATTTTCTTCAACAGGGTCAGTTATTCCCTTTGCCTGTTTTTTAGGAATAGTTTGTCTAAAAAGAGTGGGTAATTGAGTATTTTTTACATCCTGTACATCTATTTTCCAAGTCCTATTTGCTCTTGCCTTAAATATAAGAACAAATGATAAATGTAAAATCCACCCTACCACTGCCCAAGGTACCTCTACTCTTGACTGTCTCAGATGTGGTACAAGCACAACTATTCTACCTCATGCACTAGTTGCCATAAAGCAGTAAAAATGAAAATTTTGATCATGTAACTTACCTGCTTTAATTTTTTTTTTTTTTGAGAAAGGGTCTCACTGTGTCATCCAGGCAGAAGTGCAGTACTGTGATCACGGCTCACTGCAGCCTTGACCTCCAGGGCTCTGGTGATTCTACCACCTCAGCCTCCCAGGTAGCTGGGACTAGAGGTGTGTGCCACCATGCGTGACTAATTTTTTGTATTTTTAGTAGAGACAGGGTTTCACCATGTTGCCCAGGCTGGTCTCAAACTCCTGGGCTCAAGTAGTCTGTCCACCTTGGCCTGCCAAAGTTCTGGGATTACAGTGTCAGCCACTGTGCCTGGCCCCTGTATTAAAATTTTTCAGTGATTTGACACTGCTGGTATTACAACATTTAAAATCCAGAGCTGTAACTGTGCTACTGCACTCCAGCCTGGGCAGCAGAGCAAGATCCTGTCTCTCAAAAAAAAATTAAATCCTCACATTTCCTACAAGACCCTGCACTACTATCAGTACACCACCCATCTCCAATCTCTTAAGCTAACCCTCTCCAGTTATTCAGTATGTGCTTTATTTCCTGCTGCAGAACCTGAGTTATTCCTTACCTATTCTTTGTGTAATTAACCTTCCATTCAGCTTAAAGAAACTTAGCCCTGCTCATAGCACTCTACCCTCTGCCTTTCTAACACTTTGGTCTTTGGGCCTTCTCCACTAGCCTCATGAGGGCAGTGACCCTGTCAATCCAGTGACTACTATATCCTTAGCATTTAGCATAATGCCTGGCACAAACAGTAGGTAATCGAGTCTGAATGAATGAATGAACTATCAAACTAGTTTCTATACTCTCTTTCCAAGGGAAAACACACAGGAATTTGTATTAAACTAATCAGTATGAGTAGCTGCCTTTCCTACTGTCCTTTACCTAAAGTGTTTAAAATAATAAGATACTTGCATTTACAAAACTGTTTGAAACTAAAAGTCTCGGTGGAAGGACTAAATTTATTTTTAAGACAATTTGAACTTCCATTTTGTTAAACTGTTTTTAATGATTACTTATTAATAACTTCTTCTTTCAGTTTCTCTGCAAGCAATTTCCTCTTTAGTAATGTTTGCTTCTCCTCTGCTGTCATTTCTGGCTTCTCTGTCATTTCCTGAAAAAAAAAGAAAAAGTTGGCTACACCGTGAACAGGGTCATTTGTCTAAAATTCCCAATATACTGCCTCAAATGAACCAAGGTTAGAGGCATTTTTTTTTTAGGGGCGGAAGAAGAGGCAGACGTAGACTAGGTTTCCTAAATCTCTTCCTCGTAAAGTCTCTTCTTGGAGAAGCCCTGTTGGAGATGGTGGCTGGGGTACTGATGCTGCTCTTTGAGAAAACATCTCAGAATGCTCAGGTAAAACAGACCTCTGACTCTTACATACTCAGAGCAGAGCAAGGAAAGAAACAGCATAAGAAAAAAAAATGTACCATGACACCACTGTTATTTTCTGCCTTATAAAATCCTTATCACAACAATTTCACTTCCTAGAAAACACTTAGCAGCTACTGCACTAGAAGGTAGTTCATATGAATGAGTTTGCAAGCAAAATTTATTAAGAGGCTGTCTTGCACATATTTTGATTTTGAGAGTTCTACTACCAGATTTGCAAATCTTGACATACTAAGGCTAGCCATACCTCTACCTCCCCAGTGGGTTTTCCTTTCTGCTCCGTATTTTGTATCTGCTTAGTCCTCATATCCTTTCTCATGGACATCAACTTATCTCTCTTCTGCTTGAGATAGTGTTCTCGTTGCCGAAGTTCTTCTGTTCCAAGTGCTGATAAATTCTGGGTCAAATAAGAAAAGGAACTATCTAAATTCAAGTCCATTTAGTAAGTAGCACAGATGCCCACTGACTGATTCAATTCAAAGTCTGATTTCCCAGTACCTTGTCACTTTGCTTATAGTTCTTAAAAGTGATGTCTTTTACTTACTGCTATTGGTCCTTCAATGCTCGAATGCTCTAAGCCAGAAATCTTTAGGCCTTTTTGTGGGAGGGAGGAAGTTTCAGACATTTCCACCTTTCTTCCCAAAGGTTCTACTGACTGATTAGCAAAATGCACTTTAACTTCTGGCAGTAAGTAGAAAATAAGACAAATTAGAATATTATGAGAAATATTAAGTATTAGGCTAGGTTTACCAAAATGAGCTAACGTTAGTAATACTTGTTTTTCCTAATATTCACTCAGTCAGCATATATTCAGTGTCTATATTGTGCCAGCCACTGGGCAAGAACAATCAACATCATCTTTATCCTTAAGGAGCTTGGAACTACAGTTTCTCACCTGTATCTCAATAAGTACCATGCTCTTGCTATTTGTACAGTATTACAGCTACAAAAAGGTAAAATCCTTATCTAAAGATTAGAACTATAATACAAGATTGCCACATAAGCCAAACAGACAGTACACTAATCCCTTACTAACAATGTAACTGGTTTCCAAACTTTTGCTCGCAAGCAAGATTGCCACATAAGCCAAACAGACAGTACACTAATCCCTTACTAACAATGTAACTGGTTTCCAAACTTTTGCTCGCAAGTAAAAAGTCACACTATATTTTCAGAACAATTAATGGAAAGCTGTCATTTTTTGTACTGCAAGAATAAATGTCACCAATATCAATAATTTTTGTTTATAAATTGAAGGTAACTATAAACCTGCCAATGCATTGTGAAAATGTAAAGATTTCTAAAGCAAGTAGAACTTGGAAGCACATATAAACATGAGCATGAAATGCTTTCCAGCCATTTGGTAACTGTGCCAACCAAGAGAGAGGGTTAACATTCTCATTACTCCTCTGAGCCAAATTTTATTATAAGCTGATTTTTTTTTAAAAGATAAAACTGGAAGATCCAAGATGGCCATTTAGGAACAGCTCGGACTTGCAGCTCCCAGTGAAAGTGCAGAGGGTAAGTGGACACTGCATTTTTATTGCCCACGGACCAGGAGATTCCCAGGCAGAGGAGCCCTACAGGTCACCAGCGTGGCTGTTTTGGCTGGAGCGGTTCTTTTGGTTGGCATGGCTGCTTTGCTCCGCGTGGCTACTTTGTCGGTGCCCCTGCCTGGCAGTTCTCTGTACAAAACACACTGGTCCAGGTGCCCTTTTGACTGGCAATTGGAGCCCCAGGAAGTCGCCCATTCATCTGATTAAAGAGGGGACTGAACAGGGAGCCAGGCCAGGAGATTCCTGGGCAAAAAAAAGCACCACAAATCTCAGCACTGCTGTTTAAGCTGGCACAGTGAGTCGCTGCACAGGAAATCACACAGATCCCGGCGCCCTTTCAACAGGCAACTGGAACACCTGGGATAGAGTTGACTGTTCAACTAAAAATGGGAAAAAAAGGCTCTGAGGCAGGGAGCCAGGTGATCAGGCTCGGCTGGTCCCACCCCCACAAAAGAACAGCTATCAGAAACTCTCTGGATTGAGAGTTTTCACAGCAAGCGCAGCTGAACCCGGGACGGTCCAGCTCTGTGTGGGAGGGGTGTCCACAATTACCGAGGCACTCCACCACTACGGAGGTAGTCCACCATTGCTGAGGCAGCCTGCCGTTGCCAAAGGCAACCTGCCATTACAGAGAGAGTCCGCCAATACAGAGGCGGGCCACCATTGCCGAGGCAGTTCTAACTACACCCGTATAAACAAGACTGCAGGGAAGTTCATAGGGCAGCTGGGCGGAGCCCACAGCAGCTCAGCAAAGCCTCTGCAGACAGTGACTAGGCTGCCTCCTTGCTGGGCAGGGCAGCCCTGAAAAAAAAAAAAAGGCAGCAGCACAATGGAAACTCATAACTCCCTGGGACAGAGCACCTGGGAACAAAAAGCGGTTTATGAGTTCTGCTGCAGCAGACCTAAACGTACCTGCCCATAAGCTCTGAATGAACAATGGAGCTCACAGCTCAGCACTTGAGCTCCTATAAAGGACAGACTGTCTCCTCAAGCAGCTCCCTGACCCATGTATATCCAAAGAGTCACCTCATAAAAGAGAGATCAGACTGACATTTGGCGGGTATCCTTCTGGGACAAAGACAGCAGAAGAAGAAACTGGTAGCAACCCTTACTGTTCTGCAGCTGCTGCAGGCGATCCCCAGGCAAGCAGGGCCTAGAGTAGACCTCAGCAGTCCTACAGCAGAAGGGCTAGACTGTTAGAAGGAAAACTAAGAAACAGAAATAACTTCATCATCAACAAACAGAATGTCCACTCAGACACCCAATCAGAAAGTCAGCAACTACAAAGACGACAGGTAGATAAATCCATAAAGATGGGAAGAAACCAGCACAAAAAGAATGAAAACACCTGAAACTAGAACACCTCTCCTCCTACAAGGGATCACAACTCCTCACCAGCAAGGGAACAAGGTTGAATGGAGAACGAGTGTGATGAAATGACAGAATCAGACTTCAGAAGGTGGGTAGTAAAAAACCTCTGTGAACTAAAAGAACATGTTCTAACCCAATGCAAAGAAACTAAGAACCTTGAAAAAACATTTGACAAAATGCTAACGAGAATGGACAAAATAGAAAGGAATATAAGTGAATTGATGGAGCTGAAAAACACAACATGAGAACTTCATGAAGCATGCACAAGTTTCAACAGCCAAATTGACCAAGCAGAAGAAAGGATATCAGAGGTCGAAGATCAACTCAATGAAATAAAACGAGAAGGCATGATTAGAGAAAAAAGGGTAAAAAGGAATGAACAAAGTTTCCAAGAAATGTGGGACTATGTGAAAAGACCTAATCTACGTTTGATAGGTGTACCTGAATGCGACGAAGAGAATGAATCCAAGCGGGAAAATACTCTTCAGGATATTATCCAGGAAAACTTCCCCAACCTAGCAAGGCAGGCCAATATTCAAGTCAAGGAAATACAGAAAACACCACAAAGATATTCCTCACGAAGAGCAACCCCAAGGCACATAATCGTCATATTCACCAGGGTTGAAATGAAGGAGAAAATACTAAGGGCAGCCAGAGAGAAAGGTCAGGTTACCCACAAAGGGAAGCCCATCAGACTCACAGCAGATCTCTCAGCAGAAACCCTACAAGCCAGAAGAGAGTGGGGGCCAATATTCAACATCCTTAAAGAAAAGAACTTTCAACCCAGAATCTCATATCCAGCCAAACTAAGCTTCATAAGTGAAGGAAAAATAAAATCCTTTGCAAACAAGCAAGTACTCAGAGATTTCATCACCACCAGGCCTGCTTAACAAGAGCTCCTGAAAGAGGCTCTACACATAGAAAGGAACAACCAGTACCAGCCACTCCAAAAACATGCCAAATGGTAAAGAGCATCAACACAATGAAGAATCTGCATCAACTAATGGGCAAAACAGCCAGCTAGCACCAAAATGGCAGTATCAAATTCACACATAACAACATTAACCCTAAATGTAAATGGACTAAATGCCCCAATCAAAAGACACAGACTGGCAAACTGGATAAAAAGCCAAAAGCCATCGGTGTGCTGTATCCACGAAACGTATCTCACATGCAAGGATAAACAAAGGCTCAAAATAAAGGGATGGAGGAAGATTTACCAAGCAAATGGAGAGCAAAAAAAAAAGCAGGAGTTGCAATTCTCATCTCTGATAAAATGGACTTTAAAGCAACAAAGATCAAAAGAGACAAAGAAAGACATTACATAATGGTGAAAGGATCAATGCAACAAGAAGAGCTAACGATCCTAAATATATACGCACCCAATACAGGAGCACCCAGATACATAAAGCAAGTTCTTAATGACTTACAAAGAGACTTAGACTCCCACACAATTATAGTGGGAGACTTTAACACCCCATTGTCAGTATTAGACAGATCAACCAGACAGAAAATTAACAAGGATATCGAGGACTTGAACTCAGACCTGGACCAAGCAAACCTAATAGACATTTACAGAACTCTCCACCCCAAAGCCACAGAATATACATTCTTCTCAGCACCACATCACACCTACTCTAAAATTGACCACATAATTGGGAGTAAATCACCCCTCAGCAAATGCAAAAGAAGGGAAATCATAACAAAGTCTCTCAGACCACAGTGCAATCAAGTTAGAACTCAGAATTCAAAAACTAACTCAGAACCGCACAGCTTCATGGAAACTGAACAACTTGCTCTTGAATGTTGACTGGATAAACAATGAAATGAAAGCAGAAATAAAGATGTTCTTAGAAACCAACGAGAATGAAGACACAACATACCAAAATCTCTGGGACACATTTAAAGCAGTCTCTAGAGGAAAATATATAGCAATAAATGCCCACATGAGAAGAACGGAGAGATCTAAAATTGACACACTATCGTCAAAATTGAAAGAGCTAGAGGAGCAAGATCAAAAAAACTCAAAACCTAGCAGAAGACAAGAAATAGTTAAGATCAGAGCAGAACTGAAGGAGATAGAGACATAAAAAACCCTTCAAAAAATCAATAAATCCAGGAGCTGGTTTTTTGAAAAGATCAACAAAATAGACCACTAGCCATATTAATAAAAAAGAAAAGAGAGAATAACCAAATTAATGTGATAAAAAACGATAAAGGGGATATCACCACAGATTCCACAGAAATTCAAACCATCATCAGAGATTATTACAAACAACTCTATGCACATAAACTAGTAAACCTGGAAGAAATGGATACATTCCTGGACACTTGCCTCCTCCCATGCCTAAACCAGGAAGAAGCCGAAACCCTGAACAGACCCATAACAAGGTCTGAAGTTGAGGCAGCAATTAAGAGCCTACCACCCAAAAAAAGCCCAGGTCCAGACAGGTTCACAGCCAAATTCTACCAGACATACAAAGAGGAGCTGGTACCATTCCTTCTGAAACTATTCCAACAATCCAGAAAGAGGGAATCCTTCCCAAATCATTTTATGAGACCAACATCATCCTGATACCAAAACCTGGCAGAGACTCAACAAGAAAAGAAAACTTCAGGCCAATATCCATGATGAAAAATAGATGCAAATATCTTCAATAAAATACTGGCAAGCCAATTGCAACAGCACATCAAAAAGCTTATCCACCATGATCAAGTAGGCTTCATCCTGGGGATGCAAGGATGGTTCAACAT